AATCTCAGAAGCTGTATGAACTACTTGGAGAAGTTCACTTCCTGGCTGTAATTCCCAGCAAAAGAGGGGATTGCATAATGGAGAAGACCGTTCCTTTCTCTGGTTAGGCTCATCAGATCAAGCAATAACATATGTCAAAGAAGCACCTTCTCTCTGTACACAAAAGGTGGGGTCTGTATGTTTATAAAGCCATTAATGCAATGTGCATCACTGGAGTGTTAGTTGATATGGGTCTAAAGGAAAATATGAGACATTTCTAGTAACTTTCCATGATACGAATGAAGAACTTGACAATGTCAAATACGTTTGTGAGAAGTAGAAAAAACTTTAGTCAACTTTTTGAATTCTAAACTCTATGGAATCAGTCTTATTAGAATCCGTGGCCTCTTAAGCCATGTCTGTCTATACCCTATCTCCTTGTTGACCTCATTTCTGGGAATATTCCACTGTCTGACCTGTTATTAATATTATCTTATTCTGTGCCAGAAGAGGTAAGGAAGTTGCATTTCCAGAATTGCATTTGAGTCATTTGTGAAATTGAATATTACAATTTGCCACCATTTCTAACAGTTCTTTAACATTTTCTTTCTCAACTGGGTGTTCACATTGATGCCAGTGACCTCCAGGGGCTAGTTTCTTTTCTAGCTCAAGAGAGAATTGCTGCAATCAGAGTTGGGACTGAGGACAAGAATGTATATTCTTCATGTTGTTTGATTTCAAATGAAGAGAAAATTAGAAACTCAAGATATGCAAGAGATTTGTGTAGAATTTAAGTACCTTCGAGGAGCAGTAGACAGGATAAAAAGTTATGTTACCTGTATGTTTGCAAATGTCAAGACTGGGACAAAGAAGGATGACTTGTAAGGAGCTGGCTGACATCCTTGCTGCCCAGCTGGTTCATTTCCACTGCAGGTCAGAGTAACCTTGTCCTGTGGTCTGGGTGCCCAGGTGTCAGGTTAGGTCTATCTCACTGCTTATGTCCTTGGTCACCTTACTAAGGGCTCCAAACACTCGTCAGTAAAGATTGTTATGTAAATATGCGCACAGGTGGTCATGCCTAGACAAGAACTTGGCAAAATTTCATTCAGCAATATCTGGGCTCTACAGGACAAATATGCCCCAGTTTACACAACAAACAAGAAGAGCATCACAGGGTAACAGCGGAGAAAGCCAGGGATTAGCAGGTAGGTAAACAACATTGGGTTGGCACTTTCACTCTGCACATCCACACGGGTGACCTTACAAAACAAACGTCATCTTTCTGAGCCTCAGTTTCCCCATCTATAAAGCAGACACAGCCACAGGGAAGTTATGAGGATTAAATGAAAGAAAAATGAACCAACCTGCGCAAGCCTGCCTACTGTGGCGCCTGGGCTGGAAAGATGCATAAATATTAGGTTCATTTTTATTTCCACAAAAGACATGGTCCTAAAGAGCTCTACCCAAATTCCACTTTCAAATATCAAATTCTGTTTTATGAACCCTGGTTTATGAGCAGCTGAGATAACCTCTGACCTATCCCATTAGTAATCCCACCTTTCCAATCCAATGCCATCAAATAAAGGTGTTATTACAGGTGCAACAAGCTTTTCTCTCCTCTTTCATTAATTCCTTAAGTTTAGGGTTTCATCCCTCACATCCCCTTAAAACAGACCGATTTATACCCACATGATATGAAGAATGAGCCCAATCCTGTTATACTCGGGAGCAGGTAAGAGCATCCCAGGACCTGAATCCTCCCACTTGGCCTCAGGCTCAGAAGAGAGAGTAACACTCCAAAGCCATCCTATAGCGTGACACTCTTCTAGTCATTGGTTGGAATCCTCCCTCCCCTCCACTTTTCCAGATCAGCTTTTGCTTTCTTGCCTTCTACAGGGTTTTATTTGTTTGTTTTGCCTCTAAGTAGTTTCTTTGCTACAGAAAATCCCTCCCCATTCCCTCTGATCCTTCCAAGTGGAAGCCTCCAGCAGGTATTTTTTGAATGCCTGGGTTATACTAGGTGGATGCTATGGGTACTAATGCTACCGTGTGGGATGCTGGAGATATAAGATGGGCACTGTACAGTCCCAGCACAGGCAGTGTGGACAGGTAGGATGAGCGGTGTGCAGGGAGCAGTGTGCATGTTCTGCTGGGCTGTCGCGGTCTTCACTTTACTCAGGCTCTCGGCTTTGGGATGGGTAAGACTTCACCAGACAGAGAAGGGGCAGGACGAGAGGATGAGGAAGATGCACCCTGATGGAGAGGGCTGCCTTCCTCCTACAGCAAAATGTACCTGTCCTACGCTGGCTTCCTTTGCTTTCCCAGGTGACATTTAGCTCATCTTGCAAGCTCATCTCATTAATGTAATCATAAATGCTACTAAATTCATATTACCCATCATATATAACATGATTGAATTTTAACAATCCAATGCTTTAACCCCAAAGGATGGCTGAATGGTGAGGATTTCAGTCCCTGTTGTAGGGTATTTTGGGAGAGGAAGGCCTTTTGATGTCACACCACGTGGGTGCTTCCTAGGCAGGTCATGAGTGAGGCGGAAATGAGACTGGGACCCTGCTGAGCAGAGGCACGACCCTCAACACTAGGTTTCAGGGTGCTTTTTGGTCTAGCCGTGGTATTAACTGTCTCAAGAATCTCTTCTTAGTTTTGATTATGGTTCAGGGAGAGTTGGAATATTCACCCTCCCCACTCACTGCATTAAACCAGGCGAAGGTTCTATCCCTCAGGTGGCATTATTTTTCTCCAACCACAGGGTGAGTCAGAAGGAAACGTACTCACTCCCATTCATTCTCTTTGCTTAGTATTTCCTGCAAGCAGGTTTCCTTGTGGAACAAACGGCTTCTGTGGGTGTGTGAGGGTCTTTAAAAAGAGAACATGCTGTTCCCATGAGTGGAACGCCTTCTGAAGGAAGCAGCACAGCAAACACGGAGCTCTGGTTCCGGGGCTGAGCAGCAGCTTTTCTCACAGGTGGCAGGAGGCTTAGAGATGGGGCTTGTCTGCAGGAGATACAGTGTCCTGACATTCAAGCCATCTTCATTTCCGACTGATTGCAGTCATGGTATGGAAGAAAACAGAGTCTTGGGCTCTGGCCTGGGTTCAAGTCCTTCTCAGCCACTGACTGGCCATTTTCTCAACCATAAAGTGGGGCTAATTAATCATAGAATTTACCTCATAGTCTTGTTGTGTATAAAACGAGACAACATGCAGAAACTGGAGTGTGGCTAAGTGCCCAACAAGTGGTAGCTGTTCACAAGGCCATTTTTGCTGCTGGGTTCCTGTCTTACTATGTGTGGCTTCAGGTGGGTGATACGAGTTCTGTGAGCCTCAGTTTCCTCATCTAAAAAGTAGGGTCAATCTTACCTGTGCAAGCACTTAGCTGATTCTCTGGAACGGTGTAGATACTTGATAGACGTCAGTTTTCTTCACCTGCACATCATCTTTGTCTGCCTGTTGGCTCATGACAAATTCCTTCATAATAATTTCCATTCCAGAGGTATCTTGTTAACAAGTAAGTACTACTTGTTATGGGGACTAGGTACTTGGAGAGATACCCAGGAGAGGGAACAGGGAAGCTGAGACTGGCAGAGATAAGCATCTTGTCCTCTACAGTCCTTCACAGGGGTGGATCTGGTCAGCTACACACCCTCTTGTCCAAACTCGCTTCTCTGCCTCATGGATCAGGAAACTGCCTTACAACTTGAGAGAATCCAGGAGTCTCGGCTTTAATGAAAAATTGGGAGGAGGGGGTAGAGGTTTCTGATAACCATTGTTTATAAAGTTGAGCCTCTCCAGCACCTGTGGACCTCCCTCTTGTAAACCCAGAGCACGCTGGAGTCCCTCTAAGCTATTTTTGGCTAAACCCCAACACCAGAGGCTGGCACTGTAAAAGTTTCCCTCCAAATGCCCCTTTGGTCTTCCTCTACCAGAAACCTAGAGTCACAACCACATCAAGAACCATGTCCCTTATGCCATGTGTATGGATGGTTTGATGACTGATTAGGCACAAATGTGGCACAGGGGTCTCACAATTGCCTATGGGACATCTGCTACCTTCCTTTCGATTTTTGCCATCAACGGCTGCTCTAAAGCCCATTGCTTCTTAACGACAGCCATATGGTCCTAATCATCACACTGTGGGCTACTGCGGGGGGCGGGCGGGGGCGGTGATGAGGAGAGCTTGGGGACGCTGCAGAGCCGGGGGAACTGGAACTGCCACCAGGGGGCGCTCCCTGCGGCGTGAGCTCGACCGAGCGCCACCAGGCAAGAGGGGCGCCGCCACCCCGGAGCCGCAGATTTTCCCCCGGGTGCTTCCTGGCAGGAGGTGAGTTTGAGGAGGTTCCTAGGACCTTTGCTCTAACGCGAAAAGGCCTTCTCAGTCAGCCCCTGAGAGCTGAGAACCCACACCCTCCACCTCCAACCTTGGCAGCGTGGCTTTGCGTTTCCAGGGGCACGAGGCTGCGCTGGCTGCTGGGGATTGGGCAAATCCAGATCCTCTCTGGTTTCACCACTCGATTCTTAGAGTCGGACTTGTGTATTTAATGAAGCATCCAGCCCCTCTCAGACCCACGTGGGTCAGGGTCTAGGGATGCGATCCTCGAAGTGTGGTCGCGAGCTCGGCAGCTTCAGTTTCAGCATCACTCCGGACCTGGTCAGAAACGCACATTCTCAGGCCCCGCCCCAAACCTAAATCGGAGACGGGGGGCGGGGGAGGGAAGAGATGCCAGCTGTGTTTTGCTACCCCTGAGGGTGACTGCGAGGGGCTCGAGGGTGGCAGCCCCTGCCCTGGGGCTTCCCCCTTCGCCCAGGTGAGTGTGGATCGCCAGGCAGGAGTCCAGGTCCTCCGAGATCTCCGTGCCGCTGGCTCGGTGGTCACGTGTGCTCTTGGATTTTTTTTTTTTCCCCCAGCCCGCCTCCTGGGTCTTTAAAAGGAAGAAGCGGCTCTTCGTTAAGTCGTTTGTGATCTTTGCAGTGTCTCCAGCTGCTGTCCCTGGTGACACCCAATCCCTCGCCCCGGCTGCTAGGCCGCTGGCAGGGCTGAGGCTGCGAGAACCGCCTCTGGAAACTTGCAGGGTGGAGAGGACGCGCGGTAACCGGGCAGGAAGGGCCATCCTGGGCTGCGACGGGCATCCCAGTGCTGCGGGCGAAGGCTGGCGATCCGGGTCTGGGCTGCGCGAGGTCCGCGCAGTGTCCGCAGCTGGTGGCCGCGGGCCGGGTGCGGGGAACAGAACTACTCCGGGAAAAGCACATGTGCGCGTTTTAGAGATTGCTAGGCCAGTGTTTACCTGCAAGGTAAGTGCCCCTTTGCTCGAGGTGTGATTTAATTCTCTTGATTTTCTGTTTGAAATCTCCGAGATGATTTTGCTAATATCCATGTCTTTTTAAAAGAAAAAACTCCTCTGGATTTTCTCTGTGGATTTCACGACAATGGGTGAAGTGTGACAGTGGGAAAGTTGGACCAGGCGCTTCAGGCTTGAGTTTTCTGGGCCTGGGAAGATGTATCACAGGCAGGTGACCGGTGTTTTAAAACGTAGTAACTGGCATTCCTAAGTCATATCAAAAAGCAGAATTACTTCTTTCCTGGGCAGACTGAGCAAAATTAAGATCTGGTCTGTTTTATTTGCTGAAGAGAAACCCGCCTGCTGCTCTCTTGACCCTTCGTGTTACTTTTCATGCCAATTCATATTGGAAGTATAAAATTTAGTGAAGGGAATATTATTTTTGTGAAAAACAAAACTTTGGATTTGAGTGGATTTCTTAGGAAAATAAGGTTGACTCAATTTTACTAGCTTTTTAAAAAGCAACTTTGTGCTTTGGTGTGGTACGCAACACTTTGGAGGAAAGCATCTGCCTTATTTTGTTAGATTTCTAGTATTTACATGGGCATTCTGTTAGGAATTTTTACTTTTGTTATAAGTTTCTAAACCCACAGTGGCTATTTTCCTCTGTGTGTGGGGAACTATGTTATTGAAAAAGGGAACATGTGAAAGGAAAGGTTTGTGCTGTGAGTATTGTAAAGAGTAAATGCACTGTGACTATGAAAAAAACATGACTCTTTGACTCATTTTTTCTGTAGAAAATCTATATGTTTCTGCATATGTTTGACAGGAAGGGAAATGTAAGGATCTGTTCATCAATAGGTGTTAAAGCATAAATCTTAGGATTCTATTTTATGTTCAAGCATTTTTTTTCAGTTGAATTAGTGAAACATTCTTATTTCCAAAGCAGCCAGTCTCGTGTAACACTTAAGACCTATAAATCTTCGAAATCAATTAAAAACGTATTTAGGACAGATTTCACAGTGGTTCTGAGGGACTCGAATGAATCTAATCACCTTTTACATTTCTCAATTTATTTATAATATGGAATAGGTAAAATTTAGTCAATTCAACTCTTAAAAATATAATTAGCATTTAATATTGATATGTCCATTTTTAAGAATACGACAGTGCAATTTTCTGTGTGTATTCAAAATACATCTTGTAATAGTTTTAGTTAATGTTTTGAGTCATTTTATATAATATCTATAAATAATAAAATATATAAAACACTGAAAGCTGAACTTGAATCATTTACTGGTAGGTTTTATGATAATTACATTTAGAACCCTTGAGAAATGTATACTTGAATATTAGACTTCATAATTCAGTGCCTAGCACATTGTTCTAGACATAATAGCATTTTTGAAAAGTCAGACTTACTACAGTATAATTTCCATACAGTAAAATCTTGCCTCTTCAGGTGAACCCCTCTATGAATTCTGACAGTTGCACTCAGTTTAATAATCACTTCCATCATCAGGACAGAACAGTTCCGTCACTCCCCAAGTCCCCTTTGTGCCTTTGGATTCAACCCTCTCCGTCCACCCCAACCCCTGGAAATCACTGAGCTGTTCACTGATTTTATAGTTTTGCTCCTCAGTATTTTTTTACCTAGAAATAATTATCTTCCTTTGCTCTTCTCAAAAGAAAACCTCGGTTCCTCCTTTTTGATGGAATGAGTCAGGTTGTGGTATTTTTGTTTTAATCCTGTATAATTTGGGGTAAATTAAGGCAAAAAGAAAGCTATTTTGCAAATGGGAAACTAGAGACTGGGATTAAGTGTTAAATTCATATTGGGCTAATAGTTTTAATTCTTAGCAATTTTATATTCCATTCTAGTTTAAGCCTTGGGTTATGATAGGCATCATTAGTTATCCCAAACTGAAATATAAGGTCGTTTAAAAATATTCATGTAATATTAATAGAATGTATTGTTCCTTTATAATCTTGGCATTTAAAAAATACTTTTACTATACTTGGGATTAAGAAAGTTTCCTGAAAATTACATATTATCAAATAGTGAGGAGCAAAAGAGTGATTGAAAATTACAATTTGGAGACATTTACAATAAAATATAGAATGATTGTGACTGCTTAAATTAAAATACTCTTCTTAACAGGAGCTAAGTTCTGTGCCCAATTTATTTGTAGATGTCAGGGTTTTTTCATTTCTGTGCTCATGCTTTGGAATCTAGATTTTCTTGCAGGACACAGATGCACAATCTTTTGTAAACTAATGTTCTTTACTGTTTAATACATTGTTCAATTTAGTAAACAGGAGACTGTTATTGTTAGGCACTCCTAATAAAGATATGTCAGATGATGTCTTTTTCCTTTGTGCTGTGAAAAACAAGAACCTATATTTTAAATATGCAACTTAACTTTCAGAGACATGGCAGTTACTAGGCTATGCAGAGTGGCAAGTTTATGAGGCACAAGCAAAGTGGGTAGTTGGCGTTCCTAGCCGGAACTGTTACAGCTCTTCGTAATTAAGGGCTTTTAGCAGGGAATATTTGTGTGGGTGTCCTTGAGTGAGGGTCACTTGGAAAGGCAGACTACTGGACTTGTGTATGTTTCCTCAAAGCAGGACTGCAACCGTTTGTTGGTAAATGTTTTGTGTTCAACTGTCAGACCGAGGACTGGACTGGGAGATGACTATATTCAGTTTAACTTCTGCATTGGTCAGATCCTCTTGAATCTCTTCACCTACAACTCTCTCCCACCCTGCCCCAAATGAATATGTGAACATGGTTCCCTTTCCTAAGAGTGGGGCATTGTCTCTGACTGTTGGTATCGGGAAGGAGCAGAGACTGGCTGATGAGAGAATATTGTTGGGCTTCTCCCCCATACCCCTGCCTTAGCGTGTCATAACGGAATAGAGGAAGAGGCTCTGTCCTCTTTGAAATTCTGCCTTTGAAATTCTGCTTCCAATCTAGCTCAGTAAACTCCAGTGGGCTACTAGGGGAATTAGGTTTTTCTCATTTTGAAAGATAGCTGTAACATGTTCTTAAGAGTTGCATGTCAATTGATTATTAATGAACAGTTCTATGGTGATTTTCAAGTGGTTTTCTTTATTCCTAATTAATATTAAATTGATCGAGAGCATTGATACTTTGTTTTAGAAAAGATACATTTAAGGCCAATGATTGGCAAACAGTCACACACAAAAAGGATATTTGACACTTAAGAAGTATTTATCTTTTCCATGAAATTCCTTCTAGTGTCTGCTTTGTGAGTGTGATAGACTTCTGTGGGACACACAAATGGGAGTGTTTGAACTGAATGCTTGGGGAAGTGTGATGGGCAGGCTTGAGAATACAGCAAAAGAAGAATGTGGCATTTTGTGCTCCACACAGTGGTAACAGGCTACTAGCATCCCAGCTATTTGGACTGGTAGTGAAGGATTGTCAAATAGAAGTTAAGAAAGTAAGATTAGGGGCCAGCCCCGTGGCTTAGCGGTTAAGTGAGTGCGCTCCGCTGCTGGCGGCCCGGGTTCGGATCCCGGGCGTGCACGTGCATCGACGCACCGCTTCTCCAGCCATGCTGAGGCTATGTCCCACATACAGCAACTAGAAGGATGTGCAGCTATGACATACAACTATCTACTGGGGCTTTGGGGGGGGGAAAAATAAAAGTAAAATCTTTAATAAAAAAAAAAGAAAGTAAGATTAGGAGGCAGAAGTCTTCAGGGTGGCCCTAAAGGTATTTTAACTTAAATTGTCTAGAAATTCTGCCCAACACTAGAGGTGTATTCAGTGGCATGCCAATAGACGACTTCATTCATCCTCTTGGATATGTAATAATACCTTACAGGATGCTTTCACATACATCATTTCACTTCAGGCTCCACGCAGGTGAAAAGGTGCAGCCCATGTTAGGTCCTGTTTCTACTGAAGAAGATGTGGAGGCTCAGGAGTTCACGTGGTTTGTCTAAGATCACCTGGCTTTCAGGCGGAGCTGGGACTAGGACTCCATGTACTGCTCTGTCCACTGGGCCAGAATATACTAAAAACAGGCCTGCTGGGGACTGTCTTCTTGGTCTTTAATTAGATTTGATAGATACTTTGATAAAATCAGTCTACTCTGTCGGGAGTGTCTTTCTGCCATTTCTAGGGCCTGCCTTTTTCTTCTCCAAGGAACCACCATCAATATTTGCAATTCTATAAACGTGTTTTCTGTGTAAGAGCCATAATGTGTTCCCCGGCCAATGTGTTAGAACACTGTGTATAATCCGTGTGTACCAAAAGCTTTCCCGCTGAATGCAGATGTGACCGGAGAGGGTTCAACACAAGTGTGTGTGCTGGGGGGTGGGACAGGAGAGAAGTCTCTGAATAGAGACAAGGGCAGTTCATCACGAAGGATATGGGCCAACTATTGTAGGCTACGGTGACTAATTAAAGAAAACTGACATGCAAAGAAATGATTAACTCTCAGAATCAGGATGTCCGGGTGCGTGTCCTTTTGTTGGCCAGGAGAAATTCCATGCCTGCCAGGCCCAACAGTTAAACTGTGTGGAGACTCTGTTTCCCTATTGTCCCAGATAGTGTGGTCACTGATGCTCGGGTGTTCAAGCGAATGTGCTGGGAAAATCCTGTCCTACGATGTTGAAGAAATTTGTTCATTTTGGGGATTCTCTCTTTCAACCAGTTTATATTCCTGTTTTAGAGGAGGACTACTCAAGTAACCAGAACAGGTATGTTTTTCGCTTTATAAACCTCTAGTGGAGAAGACATCCCTTTTGCTACCTGTTCACCTATCTCCCAGGCCTACTGCAATGATTTCAGTGCATCACCCTTTGTTGTGTCTTCGCTTATGAAGGAAAACCCTTTGCATTGGCTACAAGTTACTAATTATCTAAGATGCCACTGACAAATAGTTGTCACGTAAATCTGGATGCATCTATAGGATATCCATCCAAAAAGCAACACAGCCTTTTCATCACTGTCCAGCAACCAGTTTTCTCACATTAATT